GGAATCATCTTTCTGAAATGTACTGGCATGGATCACTTCACATCAGAGATACTTAGATTTTTTTGCTGCCAACAAGAAAACCATTTTTCTTGTTGAAGAAACCAAGCCATTATTATTAAGGAAAGGATGTCAAAGCCTGGTTCAATCAAAACTATGGTAAAATGATCTCAATTTGAGTCCATGTTTGTGCTCCAGTCAAATATATGTTGAACTGTTGTACAATATGGCAACTTGGAACATCTTATCAATATAATTTTTCTTTAAAAAATCCACACAATCATCTTCTATAGGTAAAGAATAGAATTAGTAATGTTTTCCAAACTCTCGATAACTTTTTTGTGATATGGTGACCAAAATTGGCTGCAGTATTCCAGGTGTGGTCTTACTAGGGTTTTATGAAGCGGTAATAATACTTCACATGTTCTTCATTCTATGCCTCTGTTTATATAACCCAGGATTGTATTAGCTTTTTTGGTTACTGCTGCACACTGCTGGCTCATAGTCAAGGAATCGTCCACTAGGACTCCAAGTTCCCTCCCACAGTTACTGTTTTTAAGCCAGGTCTCTCCCAATCTGTATTTGTGCCTTTGGTTTTTCCTGCCTAATATAAGACTTTGCTTTTCTCCACATTGAAATTCATTTTGTTGGATAGGGCCCATTGTTCAAGTTTATCAAGATCTTTTTGGATCCTGAGTTTGTCTTCTGGGGTGTTGGCTACTCCTGCCAGTTTGGTGTCATCTGCAAATTTGATGAGTTCCCTTTCAATTCCCTCATCGAAGTCATTAATTGATTGAATTAGATAGAGTGTTTGAACAATTCTGGACTAAAATTTGTAACCCAATTAAAGATTTGCATGTAGAAGTGTTCCAAAATTGAAAGAAAGCAAAATGGCTGTCTTCTGACACATTGAAAACAGAAAGGAAAATGTTAGCTAGGCAGAAATTTAGGCAACTAAATCTACAAAAGAACAAGAAGAGATGAATAGTTGCAACAAAGTAAGCAATGAAAAGAAACTGAAAGGAACAACAAAATGGGGATGGATTGATTTAAGAAAATTACAGAAAAGAAGGGACACTTTATGAAAAAATGGGTACAATAAAAATAAAACAAAAATCTACTGGAAAAACAAGATCTAAAAAAATCTAGTACAAATATATAGAAGAACTGTTTGGCACTAAAAATTAAGCTCTATTAATAATGCTGAAATATTTTGTTGTTTATTGGTTTCCAAAGAACCATAAACAACTGGATGAATCATAATCTTAAGGACAATAAAGTAAATGAGAATTTTATGTTTTTTGTTGTTTATTGTTGTATCTGCCTTTTATTAAAATGAATACCAATAGGGAAAGTAAAAAAAATCTTTCTCTGTCAAAATGTTAATCACTTGGAGCCTTTTCCTAACAGAACAGTTGCTGGCTCAGTGGGTTTTAACTGACCTTTTCTTGTAAAGAAGAAAATTATTCTGGTGTGATCTATTAAAGCTTTGAATTAATTTATGTTCTGTTCAGTGGGAGCAATTTTATGTATATTATCAAGCTGCTTAAAGCAGAAGGAGCAATTGAATTGATTGGCAATTGAACATTCAAAAGAAAGAAGTTAACCTCAGTGAACCTCCCTGTAGGACCATTCTAACACCAGGTGGAAGTTTCCTTCCAGTGATCCCAGCAATTGGTTAAACTAAATTATATCTAAAAATGAAAGTTGATCATAATAACAATAACATACCTCTGTGAAATAATCACCCCTAGAGAGACACTTCTCTGTTCCTTAATCTGGTAGGGATTTTCAATTATCTTTGAAAAATACAAGTACATGTTCTATATCAGCATATTAACCAGCACATAATTTTAATAGATTATATAAACAGATATAGCATACTATATTCTAGCACTCACATTTGATAATAATAATTTATTAAATTTATGTGTCATCCAACTCCCAATGACTCGGGGATGCTTACACTTGTTAAAACATTTAAAAACAAAGAACCGTAGAAAAAACAAATACAACAGAAGGCAGAAGAACAAGAATTGCAAACAAAATGATGCTCCATCACTGGAGATTTTTAAGAAGAGGCTAGACAGTCACTTGTCTGAGATGGTATAGGTTCTCCTGCTGCAGGGGGCTGGACTAGAAGACCTCCAAGGTCCCTTCCAGCTCTATTCTATTCTATTCTATTCTATTCTATTCTATTCTATTCTATTCTATTCTATTCTATTCTACAAAAACCCCAGAGAGGAACAGAATGGAAGAAGAATCATCCTCTGCAAAGGCCTTGGTGAAGGCCCTTCAAAACATCACCAGGGTAGGGGCACCAGCAAGGTGGGAGCACATTTTTTTAAAAAAATATGGATGTATACATAGAATACATTGAAACAAATTTCTACTCAATGGACAAATGATCTATGTGCATTGTTCATGTTTGAACTTTCTTCTCATGAAGAAACTTATATTTAGAAAGTTCTATAGCTGTGATTGGTACTTGATAAAGCAACATTAGCAGTATGATTTTGTATCTTCTTTTGGTTGCGCTCATAAAATGCAGTAGGAAAATCTGAAATGCAGGGTTGAATTCCAACCACAGGGGGAATTTGCAAAGTAGCAAGGCAGTGATTATGAACATCTAAATATTCACAGAATACAGTACTTAAGAATTCAGAATACTGATTTGAAGACAGCTAGTACTAAAGAATATGTTTCCTAATTGTGACTGTGCTAAATAGTTTTTAATTTTGCTTTTCAGGCAAAAATATTGTTTCTGGGAACCCTAAGCTACAGATCCCTACAAAAAAACAAAATACAGTAGACATATGGTTGTTTTCCAAACTTTTCTATTGTCTATACTATCTCAATTTCTTTCTCGAAAGCACTGGCTCTCTGGAAGACTTTCAGGTCAATTTTTTGGATTGAATATCAGGCTCCAGGAAACCTGCCTGGGTCCCCAAAATATAATTGGGTGTGGGCTGCCACTTCAGCAATTTCTTTAGTCCATCATTTCCCATAGGAAGTCTCAAATAGCAGCCATTTATGAGAGCACAGTGTTGTATATCCAATGAGATATTCTAGCCTTAGCTGATACCCAAAAAGTATGGAAATGAGAGTCCAGTTGAGCAGGCTTCGTTGGTGGCTTATATTTATGACTGAAATCAGTGTTAATATACAACCTGGTTGTACTTAAATCTATTAGACAAAATTAGACAGAAACTGAGAACTATCCTTAGGAGGTGACACATGATTCAGTGGTTACTGGCACACCCTTAACTTATGTCCTTTTATGTAGTTGTCTTGTACCATACAGAAGACTGTCTTCAAGGAGGTTTATTATCATATTCCCTAAGGTAAATGTGTAATTATACTACACTTCATAATGAGTGTATTTAATGAGAGCTATCTGTCAAAAGAAAGATCAGAGGCCTAAAATGCCTAGTTAGAGTTGTTTAACCACAACCTAATTCTGTAGGGTTTTTTTTTAAGTAATATTCTTACCCTACTAAAGTAGCATAGATCTAAGATCACAACAGCAGACTATTCCTAATTATCATTACTGAGCAGCATGAAGTCTTTTCCTGTTCTTACCGTTCCAGCCTCAGATATACATATTTTTGTACATTTAATAGAAAGCTTTTGTCATTTTGCAATGGCTGCTTAATCTTTGTGTGCTGAAAGCCTTTAGTAATGCAATATTGTTCATCATATTCATAACCATAGAGAATTCTCATATATTTAGTTAAACTCTGAACTCATGCTGACATTTGGAAGAGGCCATTGTGTCTATTTGGACAACACTTGTGTTGTTTTCTAATTTATGAATGATATTTTATCTTTCAAAACTGAACATAGCAAGGCTCAGTATAGTTCACTGTTTTCTGACAACAAAATTAATGATGTGCTGATGACTATCGCAACTAATCTAATATTCGTGCTAAAAGGGTCGCTAATAATTTACAGCAGCAAGCAGTGAGCTAACAATTAACACATTTGTGGATGCAGAAAAATACAAATTTGAAATGAGTCAGGCATCAGCTGCCATACTGAAAAGTCGTGTTATCACTGCATTTTTCTATTATAAATTGCTATGGAATTAGTATATTTAACATATTTGAAACAACTGTGAGAGACAAAATAACTACAGTCATGGAAAGGTGAAAAAAAATAAAATTGAAGATCTACCTGATTCTCAAATTGTCTGGCTTTTAGATATAGCCTCAGTACAGTATTATTGGAAGAACTGGTTAATATTTTCATAATATTAAGTTTAATGAAAATGTATGCCTGCAATTCAAATTATTATTCAAATCTAAGTGCTATTATAAACAAAAAGATCTAGATCAATAGGATGATGAATTATGTCTAGTGCAGTTGGCTGGCTGGGGAGTCCAGGAATTGAAATTCAAACATGTTAAAGTTGCCAAGGATGAGAAACAATGGTCTAGTATTGAAGATAATTTTGTGTTACCTGAAACTGAGTTTGGGCACAGAACTTTATTTCCAAGTTCAATTCAAAGATGACATTTGAGCCAGATTAATATTGAGATCTTTTTTAGATACAAAATATTCCATGTTTATAAACTTCAAAAATGTAATATACCAATTTCATCTGCAAAGAGATTAAAGTTTTAACAGTTGCTTTTAATTAAATAAGTGTATAATTGCACATATTGTCCACATTTTGTTTTCTCATTGTTACAGAAGTGGGAAAGGCTCCACGTATAAATCCTGAAAATTTGAATGTGAATTTACCAGTATTTTTAACAGGTATAATAATATCACAAGAACTGATAGGAAATAATAGTAGAATCTTTTTCTAGTTATTGCTTCAGATTCATGATATAACAAAGCAGTTTATACTTTGAATTCAGGTATGTTGAGATGCCTCATTTTCTTAACAGATTAACATAGAGATCAGTGTTTTACAACAGTGTTTTAGAAAATAAATGTGTTAATCTTTGGTTTTAAGCAATATATATCTACTTACAGTTCCCTTTGCTTTGTTGCAGCAAGAGAAGCTAGGTGACATCTGTTTCTCTCTCCGCTATGTGCCTACTGCTGGCAAGTTGACTGTTGTCATCTTAGAAGCAAAGAATCTGAAGAAGATGGATGTGGGAGGCTTATCAGGTAAGTTGATGGCAGGAAGCATATAGTAGTAAATATGCCTGATATGCTTTTTAGTAATGGAGCCGTGCAAGCTTCCAATTCAATTCAATTCAAAGAGGTGCTCCAGAACATACAAGAACATAAACACAGCACCAGTCTGTACCTCATTAAAGTTGGACATGTTGAGTTTGCACTCGCACATATTACAAAACATGTCTTACAAATAAAAGCTGAAGCACTGCAGTGCCTAATGGCTTCTTGTTGTTTGAGTATGTGAGTTATTGTTAATATGCAGGAATGAAATGTATATGCAGTATGAAAGCTAAATCAGCTATGTGAGTTTTGAATGGGGTTGGATATACGTCACATCTGTTCCTTCTTAATTCCTCACCTGTGCTTATCAAGAGCAGCACAGAAATTAGATCCAGTGCTTTGTTTGAATGCTGTAATACATTGTAGTACTGAAAACACATTCCAGAAATGTAGAAAAATGTTTAGCTCCAAAATACAGTTACCTGTAATTGAATATAAGGTTTACCATGATCATCTATTACGTTGCCAGTGTTGCATAGGGATTTTTGACTGGGTTGGTTTAATGTCTTGCCTTTAGCAGTTTTGGTAGGCAGATATAAAATAGTTCATCTTTCTCAATATATTGTCCATGTAACACTAAAGGGACAGAGATGGTGATATATTTTTCTACATTGTCACATAATGCTATCTTACAGAAGTATTCATTCCAATTTTATCATAACCCATTTCAGTGTATATGAAAGACTGATGTTCGAATTTTATGTGTATTACTTTGTTGTCTGATCAATGTCCAGCCATTTCTACTAAAGTAACCAATGTTGTTTTATGTCCAGCAGTAAAGGACAGCAGTTCATTTGTTAGGGAATGAGCAAAATCTTAATTATAAAGCTTGAATATCAAGATGTTTGTGTACAAAATATATCACTTTTTATAACTATTACAATAATGAAAATAATGATTACTATGTATTTTCTGATTATATAATTGACTGAAATAGTTAGAAAACTATATATTTGCTTGCTTAGGGGAATCATATCTTTCAGTTCTAAAAAATATAAATATATACCGTATATACTCGAGTATAAGCCGAGTTTTTCAGCACATTTTTTGTGCTGAAAAATGCCCCCCTCGGCTTATACTTGAGTCAGCGTCTCGAGAACTGAGGAAAGTGAGTACCGTAGTTCTTTTTTGGGGGGGGGAAATCTATGCAATCACTAAAAGTCGACACCGGCTTAATCTATATCCAATAACGTGGCCTTGGAGCCGCCCGGGGAAGCCCCGGGATCCCTGCTGGGAGAGGCCCGCTGGAGGCTCCGCTGAGCGGGCCTGCCCTCCCGAAAGCCGCGGCCCAAGGGAGACCAGCCCCTGCGATCCCCAGCCAGCCTGACCATTGGACCTGCTGGCCGGGAAGGCGCACCAGAATCCAGGCTGCTGGGAAGGAAGAAGGAGATTCAGCAAAGGTAGGAGAGGAGAGCTGCCTCCTGGGGCCTGGCACTGGCGGAGGCTTCCTTGCCCTCCTCTTCCTCCAAAGCGGCTCGTGCGGGTGCCGGGGCAAGAGGGGTGCCGGGGGGGCAGCCGGGCTGGCAGAGGGGTTGGCAGGGGCCGCGCGGCACCAGCCCCCACTGCAGCTCCATCGGATGGGCGGAGGGCAAGGCCGGGCAGCGCGGAGTCCCGGCTAGGGCGACTGCTTCCTCACCCTCCTCTCCTTCCTCCTGCTGCCCCTCAGGCAGCTCGGGTGGGCGCTGCCTCCACCGCGGCTCCATCGATGGGCAGAGGGTGAGGCTGGGCAGCGCGGAGTCCCAGCGGGGGCGGCGGCCAGGCCAGGGGTGGCACGGACCCCAATGATGCTGCCCTGTCGCCGCCGCTGCCACCGGAGCTGCTGCCTCCCATCCTGCTCCCCCTCCCCGCCCCTTTGGCTGAGGATGCGGGGGCCGGGCCGGGGAGGAACCCCACGATGCTGCCGTGCTACCGCCGCTGCCGTTGCCTCCCATTCTGCTCCCCGCCTGTTCGGCTGAGGATTTGGCGGGGCGGTGGCCGGGCCGGGGACAGCGGCGAGGAACCCCAACGATGCTGCCGTGCTACCGCCGCTGCCGTTGCCTCCCATTCTGCTCCCCGCCTGTTCGGCTGAGGATTTGGCGGGGCGGTGGCCAGGCCGGGGACAGCGGCGAGGAACCCCAACGATGCTGCCGGGCCGCCGCCGCCGCCAGAACTGCTGCCTCCCGTCCTGCTCCCCCTCCCTGCCCCTTTGGCTGAGGACGCGGCGGCCGGGCCGGGGGCAGCGGCGAGGAACCCCACGATGCTGCCGTGTTGCTGCTGCTGCTGCCGGAGCCGCTGCCTCCCGTCCTCCCCCTCCCCGCCCATTCGGCTGAGGACGCGCAGAGGCCGGGGGTGGCGGGGACCCCCGACGATACTGCCGTAAGAGAGAGAAAGAGAAACAGAGAAAAAGAAAGAGGAAAGAGAGAGAGAAAGAGAAAGAGAAAGAGGGAGGAAACAGAGAAAGAGAAAGAGAGGAAAGAAAGAGGAAAGAGAGAAAGAGAGAGAGAGAAAGAGAGAGGAAAGAGAAAGAGAAAGAGGGAGGAAACAAAGAGAAAGAGAGGAAAGAAAGAGAAAGAGAGAGAGGAAAGAAAGAGAAAAGGGGGGAGAGGAAAGAGAAAAAGAGTGGAAAGAGGGAAAGAGAGAGAGAGGAGAGAATGAGAAGAGAGAGGAAAGAAAGAGAAAGAGAGAAAGAGAGAGATGAAATAGAGAAAGAGAAAGAGGGAGGAAACAGAGAGAGAAAAAGAGGAAAGAGAGAAAGATAGAGGAAAGGGGGAGAGGAAAGAGAAAAAGTGGAAAGAGGGAAAGACAGAGAGGAAAGAGAGAGAGAGAGAGACAGGAAAGAGAGAGGGAGAGAGGAAAGAGAGAGGGAGAGAGGCAAGAGAGGGGAAGAGGAAAGAGAAAGAGAGGGAGAGGAAAGAGAGGAAGAGGACAGGGAGAGGGGAAAGAGGAAAGAGAAAGAGAGAGGAAAGAGAGAGAGGGGAGGAAAGATAGAAAGAGAAAGAGGAAAGAGAAAGAGGGAGAGGAAAGAGAAAGAGAGGGAGAGGAAAGAAAGAGAGAGAGGAAAGATAGAAAGAGAAAGAGAGGGAAGAGAAAGAGGGGAGAGAGAAAGAGAGGGAGAGGAAAGAGAATGAGAGAGAGAGGAAAGAGAGAAAGAGAGGAAAGAGAAAGGGAAGAGAGAAAGAGGGAGAGGAAAGAGAAAGAGGGAGAAAGAGAGAGGGAGAGGAAAGAGAGAGGAAAGATAGAGAGCGGATTGGCACCCGTGGCTGTTGTGCGATGCTGGGGCTCCCTCTTCTTGACTAAACAAGCTCTCTTCCAAAAAGACTTTGCCCAGGAGCCTTAGCGAGGAACTTGAAAGTGCCTTCAAGTTGTCGCAATGTTGAGGTCAAGCACTAAGGCAAAGAAATGTGTTCCTCGCCTCTTTAACATTTGCGTAGCTTTTCTACTTCCCACAGTGCCCTAGAGGTGGTGAAATTGGGCAATGCTTTCTTGCTTCAACTGCCTGAGAGTTGTTGGACTAGGTCAGGGATACCATATTGTTTTTGTTGACCCCCTTTTCCACTTACAGAGCTAGGTTATTGTTTTTCTTTGAAATAAATATTCATGTAATTTTATTGGTATCTATCTTCATTTTTTACATTTACCAGTAGCTGCCTCATTTCCCACCCTAGGCTTATACTCGAGTCAATGTTTTTTCCCAGTTCTTTGTGGTAAAATTAGGTCCCTAGGCTTATATTCGGGTCGGCTTATACTCGAGTATATACGGGTATACACACATACATACATACATACATACATACATACACACACATACAACACACATCTTTAGAAAACCATCTTTAAAAACATTGTGGTAAAAATCTGTAATTCTAGCTTTATGTTCTCTTTATAAGAACTACCTTCTTGTTAATCTAAAGCAAGAGTAGGAATTCATCAATGTAGCATTAAAAAGTTCAGAGTAATCTTGCCATCTCATAGTCTAAATTATCAGATATTACAGAAGAATATGAAACATAGGAAATGTAAATAAGACACTTGAAGTAGAAACTAGCACATTTCCCAGGAAAATTAGAATTGTGGGGTATATATGCATGTTTTCAATATACATTTTTCCAGAAGAGTATCTTTTTCATGTCAACCTCCTTCCTTAATAGTGAAGTCATTTCTTAGCTCCCAAGAGTTCACTTTTGGAAGTCTTCATGCAAGTTATTGTGGATAAACTGCAAGGTCTTATATAGAGAAAAGAGGTGGGGGAATAAGCAAATTATTTTATTATGAACACAAAATTGCTTTTTTCAATTTTTCTACTGAGCAAGTTGTACATCATGATAGAGGTGAAGAATTCAGTTTGAACTTAAACTAAATGTTACCCACATATTTGGCAGCACTTGCTGTCACTAGAGAACTCCATTATCAGCAGAAGAAAATAATGTAGAGTTGCATTTGTGTGTATCTGTGAGTGGGAAGATGTGAAAGAATATGAAAAAAAATCGATGTGAAATGAAGCTGCTGTTTTGTGAAGAAAAGGGGAAGAAATATGTAGAAAAAAATGGGAAGCATATTGGAAACACAGCAGGGGATCAGATTCTGCCTTATGAAGATAGAGATGACACATTCTTCCTCCCACATCCAATTCTTTTAATTTAAGTAGAATTGCTGACTTCCTGGGCAATGTCAACAAAGTAGGTATACAAACAGTTTCAAGACATTGTTGATTCTGCACAAGATAATATTAAGCAGAGTGGCATGTAAAATCCTGATAGTGAAGCTTGGAGCTGTATCCAGAAAACTTCTATTCAGATGTTATGCCTGAGCATGTTTATGCAGTACAAGTAAGAGGAATTGGAATTACTTCTGTATTGGGCCAGAAACTTGTATTCTGATTCCTCATTTCACAGAGAGTTTTGTTTGTTTAAGTATGCTCCCTTAGTAAATCTCCTTATTTAACACAGTTT